CTCTGTAGATGGGAGCATGTGAAGGACCTACCCATATACAGGAAATCCCTCTTTGAGCCTGACTCTGGCAGAGCTCCTTTATCACAATGGTGACTAGCTTTGGTGAGCATACATCCTTAGTGTTGTATGACTCACCTGATGTTCATAATCAGAAGGTGGTTGAACAGGATTATTTCTGTTGTTAGATCTTCTAGGGAATCTTGAATGATTTTGATGTATGGATGGGAGACATTTTATTTTAAAGAAGCCTGTAAAGTGGCATTTTATTTTACTGAGTAAATTGTTTTCCCACAATCAACAAGTAAGCAGAGTGGAATTTATATACTCTCCATCTTACAATAAATTATAAAATGGTAAAGATGTGGTCCATTGCTGAATATCACTTATAAGAGCCTGCTTCTTCTAGTACCCTGATTCACTTGTTTTGCAGTTAGATGACTTTCATAAATATTTTATTAGATATTGATGTACTCTGGTAGCCATTTTTCCATTGAAATGACTTAATGCCGAACTATTTAAGTAAATAATTGAAAATAAAAATGGGAAGTAGATAGAATGAATAGTATCAACACCAACTATAATCATTTCATTCAGTTTAAACAATGTAATTTTTCTTTTCTTTTTAAAAATAAAATTTTATATCTTTTATTTTTATATTGCTGCAATTATCCCCCCTACCTCTTGCCTTCTTTATCCCGTATTTACAAAGTCCCTTTTTTGGAACAAGAAGAAAAAGATAAAGAAGAGAAAAAAATCAGCGAAACCAATCAATACATTGAGAAAATGTGACAATATATGCAATTTTCCACACCTTTGGGCACTATGTTGCGCCTTTGAAAAGGAGCAGGTGGAGCTGTCTTCTCATGTCTCTTCTTGGGGGCCAAATTTATTCTTTGTAATTTTGTAACATTCATTTTTGCTTGTTTTGTGGTAGTAATGCTTTCCATTTACTAATCAATTCCAGTTAATTGCCATAAGAGTGAGACCAAAAAAGCCCAGACAGTGTCTTAATCATCAAACATACGACTCACTTGCTAGAGAGTGATAGCTGCCAACTGTCACATCGGGTTAGAATAGAAACTCATTTGTGAAATCTTACAAAGAAGGAGGATAGATAATTATAAGTTATTATATATATAATATGTATATTATACATATAATATAAATTATTGTCTCATAAAGCAGAGGGAATCAGTGCAGAGTAAAACAAGTTTAAGGAAAGGGTGGCAAGATAACCAACTTAGCGGTCATTCCAAGGACATTCAAAGATGAAAATAAAAGAATTATAAACGGAAGAGAAATGAAAAAGATATGCAAAAATAATTTTTTTATTAATTTATTTTGAATTATCAACAATCATTTCCATAAGCTTTTCAGTTTCAAATTTTTCTCCCCCTCCCTCCCCACCTTCCTCCCCAAGATGGCTTGCAATCTGATATAGGCTGTACATACATATTCCTATTAAACATATTTTCATATTAGTGATGTTGTAAGAATTAGAACCAGTAGGAGGAACCACCAGAAAGAGGAAACAAAACACAACAGAAGGAAAAAAAATAACAAATAGTATGCTTCGATCTGCATTCAAACTCCATAGTTCTTTCTTTGGATGTAGATAGCATTTTCCATCATGAGGCCTTTGGAGATGTCTTAGATCCTTGTATTGCTGAGAAGGGTTAAGTCTATCAATATTAGTAATTGAACAACATAGTTGTTACTGTGTACAGCATTCTTCTGGTTCTGCTCATTTCACTCAGAATCAGACCATACAAGTGTTTCCAGGTTTTTCTGAAGCCAGCCTGTTCATCATTTCTTATAACACATTACATTCATATGCCACAACTTGTTCAGCCATTCCCCAATTGATGGGCATCCTCTCAATTTCCAATTCTTTGCCACAACAAAAAGAGCTGCTTATAAATATTTTTGTACATGTAGGTCCTTTTCCTATTTGTGTGATCTATAGTCCTAGAAGTACTATTGTTGAGTCAAAGGGTATTCACATTTTTATAGCCCTTTGAGTATAGTTTCGAATTGCTCTCCGAAATGGTTGGATCATTTCACAACTCCACCAACAATGCATTAGTGTTCCGATTTTCCCACATCTTCTCCAACATTTATCATTCTCCTGTTTTGTCATGTTGGCCAGTCTGATAGGCGTGATGTGGTACCTCAGAGTTGTTTTGATTTGCATTTCTCTACTCAATAGTGATTTAGAGCATTTTTTCATATGACTATAGATGGCTTTAATTTCTTCATCTGAGAACTGCCTGTTCATATCCTTTGCCCATTTATCAACTGGGGAATGACTTGTATTCGTATAAATTTGACTTAATTCTCTATATATTTTAGAAATGAGTCCCTTATCAGAGACACTGGTTGTAAAAATTCTTTCCCAATTTTCTACTTTTCTTCTAATCTTGATTGCATTGGCTTTGTGCAAAAAACCTTTCAATTTAATGTAATCAAAGTTATCCACTTGCAAAAATAATTTTGATAAATTATTTTCTTCATCAAGGACAGGGAAACCACCACTCTTGACCCTAACACTAAGTCCAGGACATGCTTGTAAAACAATTAGAAGTGGCAGTAAACATAGCAAGACATCCAGATTGGACCCAGTGTTTATGGAATATATCCATGCTGGAAGCAAGATGATTGTGTGGGCATTGAGGGACGAGTATACAAGTTATCTGGTTGCTTGTTATTTGATACAAATTATCTGAAGGAAGAGAAGATACTAAAAGCATGGGGGTGGGGGTGGGGAATCTCAGTCTTCATTAAGTTAACACCTTAGGCTTTATACTGCTAAGTTAAGGGAGTCAGGAGACAGGGAAATGAGAGAGATCTTAGAAACCTGTTGTCTGTCCTTAAACTAGGCAGACTTATGGTGAAAAGTACCTGGGAGAAGTAAAGTCTTGAGTTAAATAAGAAGGAAATTGTGTAGGTGCATTGTAGACTACTGGACTAATGAAGTTAGAGAATGAATATGAGGAAGAGACTCCCCCCAATTTATTGTGCATGCAATCATTTGTATATAGATGTTTATTTGCTGTTGCCCCACTTAGCCTCTGAGATGTTTGAGAGCAGGGACTTTGTTTTTTTTTCTTTTTTTCCTATTCCTAAGAACTTAGCACAGCCTGGCATGATAAAATTTTTGCTAAGTGGCCTAGTGATGGGAGTCTTTTAACATTTTGTGGCTAACACGGCAGCACTTGGACCTCCCTCCTCATATCCCTTCCTCTCACTCCATGGCAGGCTCCCTTCATTTGCCAATCACACATATCCTTGATGAGAGCTTTTGCACCACTTCTTGTCCACAAGTCCTCATTGTTGGTCTTGCTGAAGCCTATTTATGTCCACTGTGTGTCTGCCCCTTTGTCCTTTTGCTTATCTGTCATTTTGATTCTCCAGAAGAACTTTCCCAGGTACATATTGGTGTTAAAGAGATGAGCTTTTGTGTTAGAGCATGGTTTAATATTATTGAAAACAGTGTATTATTTCCCAGAGACCATACAACCTACTGTCCTCCATTTCAATTCTGGGCTTGCTCAATGTCCATCTAATGGGCCTGTTGGATATGTATGTGTATATACACATACACACACTATACATAAACACGGTGAAGGGAGAGCAACTACCTGAGTAAAAGGCCTTGAGTCCATATCACGTGTGGATGTGAAAAGACCCAGGGGTGACCTGCTAGCTGTGTACAAGTATTTAAAGGGCTGCAGAGCAGGGAATGGACTTATTCTGTTGACCTGAGAGGGCAGAATGAGAAGCAGTGGACAGAGGCTGCAAACAGGCAAGTGAAGGCTAAATGTAAGGAAAAACTTCCTAATAATTAAAGATGTCCAAAAGGGGAATGAGTTACCTTGAGAGGTGGTGGGTTTCCCTGCAATGAGGTCTTCAAACAGAGGCTGAATGACCACTGGTCTAGTACATCACAGTGGGGATTTCTTTTTAGTGCAATAGCAGGGGAAGGCCCAACAAACAAATGTCATGATCCTGTGTTATGAAATAGGGCTGTCCCCTAATGTACTGGGCCTGGGGCTGACATAGGGGGAGGAGGTATCAAAAGGGTGGGGAGAGTAGGGGCTAGGTCATCAGGCCTCAGCGAGAGCCTGCAGCATCACCAGACTCCCATACAGCGCACAAAGTGAGTGCAGAGCACTGGGGTTCCAGGTAAATTGGGGTTCATCTCCTGAGAGCCACAGCCCACACTCTTCCAAGAGGCCACATGTGAGGGTCAAGTTCTCATCCTGGCCCTGGACAAAGGACAGCAGCTCTGAAGGAAGGGAGAAAGGCCTTTCCTCCGTCTGAGTGAAGTTCTCCTTCAGAATTGCCTTCACTTATGGGAAATAGGATCAGAATGAACCCAGGGACTCTGGGGAAGAGCACAGAATACTTTCTAGTTAGTTCTTCTGAGAAAGCCCCCTGAGAAACCAGGGTCCTGGGAGAAGTGCTCGAGCAGACCATTGAGGCAGCTGCATGACAGGCAGGAAACCCTCTGAGGTCAGAACTCATCCCATTGAGTTCTGGGCAGCAGGGCAGAGAAAGGGGCAGGTCATCCACATAACTGAAATGATCCCATTCTAGTTTGCTCCTTCTTCCCCATTTCTTACTCATTCTTTAGACTGCCCATTCCAAGGCTTCTGAGAAGTTGTGCTGCCGAGCTTACTTCTGGGAAGGAGGCAGGTTTTCTTACCAGTTCTACCTCCTGGGACAGGATCTGTTTCTTTTTCTGTAGCAACTGGATCAGCAGCTGATGTTGGATGTCACTCAGGGCTGGGGACAAATCAATCAATCAATCAGTTCATCACGTCTTTCCTAAATGACTTACTAAGGGTTAGACTCCGCTAAGTGCTTGGAATAGAAAGATAAAAAGGGAATGGTCTCTGCTCTCAAGTAGATTATACTGTGTGAATATGTACTTGAGAGCACATACATAGGTAAGTCTATACACAGAGGACATAGAAGGTATATACAAAGTAATTTGGAGAAAGACGAACAATTGTGGGGAATCAGGGAAAGATTCACGTAGGAGGGTTAGGGTTAAGAGGCGGTACTGGAACATATCTCTGAAGGAAGCTAGCTAGGGATTCTAAGAAGAGGAGTTGAGGAGGTAGGTGCTTTCTAGGCTTTGCAAAGGCATGGAGACAGGAGAAGAAATGCTTTATACAAGGAATAACAAGAATGTAGAGAGTGAGAACTAGGGCAATAATGTATAAAGAGCTTGAAAAGATCAGCTGAAGGTAGGTGTCAAAGGGCTCTGAAATGCTTAAAGGAATTTAAAAGGCAGCTAGGTGGTGCAGTACATAGAATACCAGTCCTGGAGTTAGGAAGAGCCGAGTTCAAATTCAGCCTCAGTCACTTACCATGTGGTCCTGGGCAAGCCACTTGACTTTTTTTGTCTCAGTTTTCTGGATTGTAAAATGGGGATAGCAATAGCACTTATGTCCCAGGGTTGTTGTGAGGCTCAAATGAGATAATATTTGTGAAGGACCTGGCACATGGTTAGTACTTTATAAATATTAAATGATGATGATGATACCGAGAGAGAGTGGAGTCACTGGAACTTCTTTTGCAGGAGAATGACATAGTCACACCTGAGATTTAGGAAAATTCTTTTGGCATTCATGGGGAGAATGCATTAGGGGATAGACTTGATGTAGGAAAATCAATTAAGAGGATTCTGTAATAATGATGAGGTGGTGGCTGTGGGAATAGTGAAAAGGGGATAGATAATAGAGAGGGAGAATTTTTTTGTGTGTGTGTGAGGCAATTGGGGTTAATTGACTTGCCCAGAGTCACACAGCTGGTAGGTGTTATGTGTCTGAGGCTCAATCTGAACTCAGGTCCTGCTGACTCCAGGGCCATGCTCTATCCACTGTGCCACCTAGCGGCCCTGAGAGGGAGAATTAACAAGACTGGATGACTGCTTCTATAGGGTAGAGAAGGGCGGGGGAAGAGTGGAGGGTGGCTTTCAGATTCCTGATCCTGGACTCCAGAAGGATGGTGGCATTTCTGAAAAAACAACAGAGTTAGGAGGAGGGATAGGTTTGGAGAGAGAGACACTGAATTCTATGTCTGGGTTGTCATGAGTTTCTGATGTCCACATGCTATCATCTTTGTAATACCTGTCAAATATCTACTGTCCTCTCCTCTGATGCTGCCACCACTCTCATACAGACCCTCATTGCCTCACTCTTGGACTCCTGCTAGAGCTGCTAGCGGGTCTGCCTGCCTCAAGTCTCTCCCCCCTCCAATCCAGCTTCCATTCAGCAGTGACCTCTATTCAGATCTCCATTCACCTTCCTGCTCACTGAACTGCAGTGGTTCCCTGTCACCACTAGGATCAAATAGAAAATCCTCTCTTTACCATTTAAAGCCTTCATGACCCATCTTCTCCCCTGCCTTTCCAGTTTTCTTACACCTTATTCTCTGCCTCTGAGTATTCTTTGATCCAATGGCACTGAGCCTCCTTGCCCCACAAACAAGACACTCCCTCTCTTGGCTCTGGGTATTTTCTCTGGCTTTCCCTCATGCTTGGAATGTTTTCTTTCCTCACCTCCACCTACTGCCTTCCCTGGCTCCCTTTAAGTTGGAACTAAAATCTCCATCTTCTACAGGATACCTTTCCAGACCCCTCTTAATTCAAATGCTTTCTCTCTGTTAACTGTAGCTTGTTTGTATGCATTTGTTTGCTTTTTCTCTCCCTCATTAGATTGTGAGCTTCTTGAGGCCATGGGCTGTCTTCTGCCTCTTTTTGTATCTTCAGAGCTTAGCACAGTCCCTGGCACAGAGTAAGCACTTATTTACTGTGTGACTAACTATTGGGAAATTCCAGATTAGGGTTGGCTATAGGGATATGGGAGTCATTGGCATAGAGATGAAACCATAGGAGGTGATGAGATTACTCAGTACGAGTATATAGAGATGAGGGGGCCAAAGCCAGAGCTGTGTCCTACATCCCATGTTTAAGGTTTGGGGCATGATGATGATTTAGTAAAAGAGAGTGAAGAGTGTCTAGATAGATAGGGGAAGAAATAAGACATAGCAATTTCATGAAAACTCAGAGGGGGATAGTGTATGTAGGAGGAGATGGTGGTGAATATTATCAAATGCTGCAGAGGTCTAGAAGGATGGGATCTGAGAAAATGTCATTGATTTAGACAATTAAGAGATGATTGGTAACTTAGGACAGAACTGTTTCAGGTGAGTGATGAGGGTAGAAGTCAGATTGCAAGGGATTAAGAAAGTGAAGGCTATGTATGGAGACAGCTTTTCCTAGCTGTTTGGCTATGATGGAAGAGAGATACAGGGTGATAGCTGGATAGGGATGGTAGGGATTTCAAAAAATGGGGAACTGATTGGCTAATATGACAAAAAAGGAAAATGATATATGTTGGAGAAGACGTGGGAAAATTTGAACATTTATGCATTGTTGGTAGAGTTGTAAACTGATCCAACCATTCTGGAGAGCAATTTGGACCTATGCCCAAAGGGCTATGAAACTGTGATCCAGAAATACCATTATTAGGTCTGTATCACAAAGAGATCATCAAAAAGGGAAAAGTACCCACATGTAGAAAAATATTTAGAGCAATGCTTTTTGTAGTGGCAATAAATTGGAATTTGAGGGGATGCCCATCAATTGATGAATGACTGAACAAGTTGTGGTATGTAAATGTGATAGAATACTCTTGTGCTATAAGAAATGATGAGCAGGCAGATTTTAGAAAAGGGAAAGACTTACATGAACTGACGCTGAGTGAAGTGAGCAGAACCAGGAGAACATTGTACATAGTAACAGCAATGTTGAGCAATGACCAACTTTGGTAGGCTTAGCTTTTCTTGCAATACAAAGATCTAAGACAATTCCAAGGGGTTCATGATGGAAAATGCTATCCACATCCAGAGAAAGAATTATGTAGTCGGAGTGCAGATTGAAGCATAATATTTTCTATTTTTTTTCTTTCTCGTAATTTTTTTCCTTTCACTCTGATTCTTCTCTCACAACATGACTAATATGGAAATATGTTTAATGTGATTGTACATGTATAGCCTATATTAGATTGCTTACTGTCTTGGGAAGTGGAGGGAAGGAGGAAGAAAAAATTTGGAACTCAAAAATCTTATAAAAGTAATGTTGAAAACTGTCTTTACATGTAATTGGAAAAAATAAAATACTGCTTTACATGTAATTGGAAAAAATAAAAGATAAGAAAAAGAAATGGGGAAGATCTGAGTGTGCTTATAGGTTGAAGGGAAGGAATCTGGATAGCTAAAGAGAGATTAAAAATTAGAAGAAGAGAGGGGATGATTATCAATGCATTCTGCCAGAGGAGATAGGAAAGCATATCATCCAAAAATATCAGGGTTGGCCCCACTGAGGAGAAGGGCTTGATCTTCATCAGATAATGGAGAACAGCAAGAAAAAATGGTGAATGATGACAAGTGGTCTTGAGCTGTAGAATAGAGGAGAAGAGAAAACTGGAAAATTGCCCCTAATTTCATGGTGAAGCATAGGGAAATAGGCTTTATGGACAGTGAAGGGGTAGGAGATAGTGTGGAAGGCTGGAGGAGAGGAGAGATGGTTTGGAATAGCCACTGTGGCAAATGAAAGAACAAGCTTCAGAAGAGTAAAAGGATTGCCTTGCAGCAGTGAAGGCCATTGGAGATTTTTGTTGTTTAGTCATTTAGTCATGTCCAACTTTTCATGACACCAGATGGGATTTTCTTGGCAAAGATACTGGAGTGGTTTGCCATTTTCTTCTTCACGGATTAAGGCAAACAGAAGCTAAGTGACTTGCCCAGGAACACACAGCTAGTGAGTTTCTGAGGCTGGATTTGAACTCAGGTCTTCTTGACTCCAGGCCTAGGACTCTATCCACTGAGTCACCAAGCTGCTTCTCATTTGGGATTAAATAATATAAATTTGTAGTGGACCCCCTTAGCCTAGTTGTGTGATGGCTGTGTGAAATCCTCCAGAATAGCTCAAACCAGGCATTGAAGAAATAGTGCTAGTGGACAGCCCAGGGTATCAAACAACAGGCATGCATTAATCAATGACTGTGCTGGGAACTCTGCTAGGTGCCAGGGCTACTAAGGCAAAAACAAAACAATACTGTTCCTTAAGGATCTCATGCTCTAATGGATTGGGGGGGGAAAGACCACATGTACATCAACAGGTATGTACAAACTATATAAGGAATATAATGGACTGGGATAGGGATACATCGTACTGTTTTTAGGGAAGTCTACCAACTGTGAGGATCAAGAATGACTTCATATGTCCTTGAACTTGGTCCTGGAGGACACTAAGGATTTTTTTTTAAGAGTAAGCCATTTTTATTGAGGGAAAGACTCAGAATATTAAGGTCAGTCAAAGAGATACAATGGAAACATATCAACTGGAATTCTGGGTGGAATTGGGTACCTTGCTGGGGTTTAGAGGAAAAGGTGCACTTTTTCTCTCTAGTCCAATGAAGTCTGGTATTTTTTTAGGTTTTTTATCTAGGTCTCACTGGACTAGGCTTTGGGGAAAGTGAGAAAGAATCCTGGAGCTGATAGGGCATGCTACTGAGTGGGAAAAAAACACCAGCAGAATTGGTGCTTAGATGATATTCAGATTTCCCTCTTGAAAGGACAAGAGACTTTGAGCCATATCCAAGGACCATTATTTGATGGTCTTATTCAGTTACCCTTATTCAGGGTAATTCAGTTTCTCTCTCAGGTGTTTTTGAAGTTCCCTGGGGCTTTGCTTATCAAGTCAGATATTCCTTATACTACTTTCATTTATCCATTCAATGGTCCTTTTGCTTTCAATTCTATTAATTTCTTCACTTTTCAATAATTACTACAGTTGGAGATTTTTGATTTGTTGTTCCAGTTTTTTCCTTAAACTGCATCCCCAATTTATTGATCCTTACTATTTGTTTTTTTCTCCACTTAATAGTATTTTATTTTTTCCAATTACATGTAAAAATAGTTTTCAACATTTACCTTGATAAGATTTTGAGTTCCAAATAAGGAAATTAGGAAGAGGGGATGGGGTTTTAGGGGAAAAGAGGAGTTGAGATTTTGACTTACTGAGTTTGAGATGTCTATGGGATATCCAGTTCAAGATGTTCAACAGGAAGTTGTTATAGGGGATGAGATTTCAGGGGAGAGACTAGGACTAGATAAACAGATCTGATAGTTATCTTCATAGAGGTGTTAATTAAATCCACAGGAGCTGATGAGCCTAGCCATGTAAGATCAATGAAGAAGGGCTGAGAATGGGGAATACTGTGGCCCATCTCCTATCTGGGCGGGGTCCTAATATTTCCTGTCCCTGGGAAGTCCAGGAAGGAAGGATTTAAGAGGACAGAGCAACTTTCTTCTCACTGATGATGGACTTTCATAGGGGAGTCAGTGCCATATGAAGGAGACATGGCTGGCTGGGAATCACAGGAATGGGCTCTGCCAAGGCAGTGTACAGATGTATGACTTTGAGCAAGTCACGTCCCCTTCTGGGCCTTTGTTTCTCCATCAATGGAAGAGGGAGGTGATTACCTGTCTCCTTTCTACCTTATCAGGATAATGTGAGGATAAAAATACACAGAAGATTGGAGGGTTTTTTTTGGTTGTTGTTTAAAGAAAAGCTTACTCTAGAATCCCAAGCACCTCTTATATAGGAGCTGAAAGGGTGTTGTTTTCTGAGTGTTAGTGTCCAGGGTCTACTTTCCCCCCAATCTCTGGTCCTACAATCTCTCTTATCATTCAGAGCTCCAAGGAGATAAAGGAATGCCCCTGCTAGTTGCTCCACAAGTTGTCCATTTTGGTCTTGCAGGTTACTTAGGATGTTGCCTGTCATGCCCTCCACCTTCTGTGGGGGTACCCCAGTGTACAAACTCTGTTCTAGCTGTGGAGGAAAGATAAGGAGAAAGCTGAATAGTGACAGTGACATCTTCCTTCCCAAACCAGCCCCTTGGGCTAGTAGTCAGGCTTGCCCCACCCCAAATGACACTGTTGCAGGGGAGAGATCCTGAGCTCTGGGGCAAACCCTGGGCTTTGATTCTACCAACTCACTCAATAAGTGAAAAGTGAGAGGAGGAGACTCATGGACTCATAGCCAGTGTGGAGGTATTTTCCAGTTCTTCTTCCCGTTCCCTCTTTGAGTCCCTGGGGAAAATAAAGAGGTTATCCCCAAGGAATATGCATGGTGATAGGCAGAGCTGGTTAGTGGGAAACTGGAGAACACTGAAGGGGAAGGGCCTATAGGGAGACAGTGGTAGCAACCGGGAAGAGGAACCCTTGGGGATTTTTTTTTGGCCTTCCTTTTATAATAGAGAGGATGGCATCCAAAGATTGAAAAACTTGACAGACTTTCCCTGCCTTGGCCTGAAAACCTATGAAACTAAGGGACCAGGCTACCATAAGGGTGACTTAACAAAGGATTCCTGGTCAACTGACTTACAGCATGTGGGGGTGGGGGAGAGAGAGAGAGAGAGATAGAGAGAGAGAGAGAGATAAAGATACAGAGAGAGAATGAGAGGGAGGGAGGGAGAGAGAGAGAGAGAGAGAGAGAGGTCACCTCTCAAGTAGCAGGACCAAGACAGGATTTGTGGAACCTCAGAGGAGGCTAACTATTCCAAAATGTGGATCTGGGAATTTATACACATCTCTGAAATTGGGAGGAGGGGAATGTGGTTTTAGGCCACCTTTTACCTCAACTCAGTTGATTTTGTCACAGAAGAACAATCACTGACATTAACGTGATGCTAAACCAACTGTAAAAATGTCTCTTTATACTTTGGTCCCTTTAAAGCTCAAAGAGATCTCTGTTTGAGTCAGGATGGGAACAAACTATATCTTTGAGGTTTTAAGTAGCTAGTTTTGGATGATTTTAGCTGTTTGAGTTGGAGACTTTTGTAAACAAGGAGCTGCCTATGGAGGAGCCCCCTGCAGATGTGAACAAGGTATTTCCTTTCTTCCTCTCTAAGTTCTATGGCCCTGAATAGGAGCAAGTAGAACACTTCAGACCAACATGGATATAGAGAGATGTCAACCAAGGGAGGAAGCATCATCATCTGTTGCCCTTGGCAGCAGAGAAGACAGTCAGATTATAGAGAGGAGCAGACCCTAGGAACTCAGTTTAGCAAGTCACCCAACAGAGATGCTACACCCAAGGGGGTCTATGGGAAGATGCTCTGAAGTGACAAAAGTCTTACAGGCCCTATAGTACCTGGAGTTTTGTGTATTCTATATGTGCTGTACTGCCACTGCGTTCTAAGTTTGAGTCCACTCTTGTCATGGACAATTTGTGTATTTGTGGGAGATTGCACCCCAGGTTTAGTTGGGGAATGTTTTGTACCTACTGCTTTTGCTATGCCATTTGAGTAAATACATCTAGTATAATATAAATGAGTCTACTGGCTGATTATATGTGGGAAGTACACCAGTGGGGGCTTGTGAGATACAGAGTTAGTAGTTTATTCCCACAAAGCTAACCCTAAACTTGAGGTAGCAGCCACCCTATGGTGACTTGAGCAACTCTCAAATATGAGAACGAGTTGGGGATGTAATCCACAAAGGATATTACACAAGGATTTGTTTTCTTTATCTCTTTTTAATAAAATTTTCTTTTATGATAATGTGAATTGCCTGATTTCAATAGTTTATGTCAGGCTCAGTATCTTTGGGGGTTACCAAGCATATATTTTCTGAATGAGAGCTGTAAGTCAAGAGAGTAACAAAAATCCTCAACAAGTATTGGATCTTTCATGTTGTAAGAAAGTCTTATGACTGAAATTAAATAGAAATAATTAAAATTGGCAAGGAAGAAAGAGATCATCTAGTGCAATTAGTTCATTTTACAAAGGAGGAAACTGAGGCCCAGAGAAGCAAAGATGGCACACAATGACCTAGTGGAAGAGCTAGGGCTTCACTCCAGGTCCTTGGATTCCTTGTCCAGCACTCTCCACTGTACCATCTTATCAAATGAAATAGTAAGTTTCTACATCTTGTGCATGGAAGAGTGGATTGTGGATGACAATTTAAAATGGAAACCAAGATAACTTGATAGAAAAGGAAGGCATTTCAGCAGGAAAAATGAAGTCAAATAATTGCTTTTGGATGCTGGTGAGCAATTGAACTTCTTTTTGGCAGATATCAGGCTTCATAAGGATAGATTCAGCCAAGAGCCAATGGAGTAATTTTGACATATCCCTTTTTGTGTCCCTTAACGCAACGACAGGACTGACCAATGATGGGAAATTAATATGCCAGGTCCAGTTGTGGAGTTGGCATTGGAAGTAGAAGAACACAGAGGCTCCAGTCACTGAATGAGAAGCCACAGGGTTTGGATGGCTCCCTAAGAAGGAGAAAAGAGCTGCACTAGAAGAGTGCTTGGGAAACGTGGGGATATGATTTTATCTCCATCCCTCCTCCTTAGTCTACAGGAGACCCTGAGTAAGGGATCTGCATCCATCCACTTTAAAACAAAGGCCAATTAAACAAAGCTACAGGTTCTCCATCTGTTTTGATTGTTATCTTAAGTCCTTTGCTTTGAGCTAATTGTTTCCAGTGGGTGACTCTTAAGGCTCAGTTGGAGAGGAGGTAGGATTTAAGGAGTTAAGACTCACAGGGTAAACCCTAGACCTGAGCGGGGCAGCTACTCTCTGGTGAGATCGCTCTGAGGGGGTATTACATTAGAATGAAATCAAACTTGTCCCAAGTATCTATAGATGAGGTGTTTTGTAAAAGGAGAGCACAGGAACAATACTTCCCAAGGTCTTCCAAATACTTTACTGTCAACAGTCCTGTAAGGCTGGTAGTTCAAATATTATCATCCCTTTCATTGTTATTATTACTCCCAAGTAATAATGATAATTAACACCACCACCACCAACCAAGGCTGCAAGGTATAGTAGCTGCACAGCCAGCTTTAGCAAGATGACCTGGGTCCAAGTAAATATTAATAATACTGGCTGTGTTACCCTGGGTAAATCATTTACTCTCTCAGTGTTCCATGCAGGGTTCTAGGACTCTAGGTTGATTAGCTGGTTTGCATTGGAAGAAGAAGTTCGCGACTGATGATATCCCAGGACCAAAAAGAGCTGACATTTACTGAGGGCTCTAGGGTCTGCAGACAGTTTCCTAAAATGATTATATTTGAGCTTGAAAACATCCCTCTGAAGTAGGTGCTATTATTATCTCCATTTTCTAAGTGAGGAAATTGCAGATCTGGGAACTTAAATGACTTGCCTGGGGGATCACAGAGCTCTTTGGAGCCAGGGCTGGGATTACAAGTCTAGTTTTCCCAATCTAGGATCTTTCCCTTGACACCACGTAGAACAGATTTTTTTGTTTCATTGTTAGGATATCTCTCTTAGTGAAATCGATTAGGGAATGCCTGAAGAATATGGTATATGAGTATACAAATGTAATAGAATAATATTGTGCTGCAGGAAATGAGGGAAAATGTGATTTTAAACAGAGATGGGAAGACTCCCATGAAGTGATAGAAAGTGAAACAAGTAGAACCATAAGCGCAATTTATACAGTCACATGAATATTACAAAAATAACATTTCCGAAGGACCGAAAACTCTAACAACTAAATGCTTAACCTTTACTCCAGATAAAGTAGAACATGCCTTGCTCGTGACAAAGAGTGGTGGACTAATGTGTAGCATAAGAAATCCATTTTTGGGTGTGACCAATGTCGACATTTCTTTTGTTTGACTGTGCTTGTGTGATACTGAGTTTCTTTCTTTCTTAACTCATTTCTTAGTTTCTTTCTCTCTTTCCTTCTCTCTCTACCTCCCTTCTTCCTTCTTTTCCTTTTCTCCTTTCTTTCTTCTTTCTGTTCTCTCTCTTTTGGAAGTATGAGGAGATAAGAGAGAAAGAAATGAATGCTTAATAATTGAAAAAATAAGTTTTAAAAAGAAACCAATTGACAAAGTTGCAGTATGATTACATTAAATCAATAATTTGGACTGGATAACCTCTGGGGCCATTTCCAACTTTGAAATTCTGTGATTCAAGACTCTTTGATAAAGGATAAATTGAACAAAGGTCCTGAAGATATGGTGGTACAGGAGGAATGTCCTCAGGATCCAGAGAGTCCTATCAGTTCTGACAATGACCTTTTGCCTTGTGACCAAGAGGACTCTTAGGGAAAGAAGTTGATGATATCATAGGATCAGAGCTGGAAACCACTCAGAAGACAGAAGTCCTATAAACTGAAGGCCAACTATCTCCCAGAGTGGCTTGTTAGAAACTTACTTGGTGTATTTGTGAGTCACCAATATAGTCTTTAGTGGAATTATTTTAAATCAATGAAGAAAATTCTAAGTTTTGGAGTTTTGCAAATGTCATGGTTCATGTGATGTGTTAGAAGTTTGGAAAGAATAAAATGGGAAGAGTTTGTTTCCCATGGTTCTCTGTTTCCCTTCTTCAACTTTCACATTTGCTAGGTTTTAGAGCAGTTTTTTGGTTTTTAATTTGTATTTTTCACAAATGGCAAGGATTGTATTCCTGAAATATTTTTAAGTATATGTAAGAATTCTTGTTTTATTTTTTATGTATCAATGTACCTTTTAATTGTTATTCAGTCATCTCAGTCCTGTCTGACTCTGTGATCCCTTTTGGGGTTTTCTTAACAAAGATACTGGTATGGTTTGCCATTTTCTTCTCCAGTTCATTTTACAGATAAGGAAACTGAGGCAAACAGGTTTAGAGACTTGTCCAGGGTCACTCAGCTGGTAAGTGTGTGAGGCCAGATTTGATTTCAGGAAGATGAGTCTTCCTGACTCTAGGCTGGGTACTCTATCCACTATACCACCCAGCTGCCCTGTTCATAATAACCAAATGTAAATATAAAGAATGAAAACATTTATCAGCATTTGAAAAAACTCTACTTGGTGAATAGGTTCCAGAGAGTTTCTGTTGGCACCAGTTGCTCTACTCAGACAGTACTCAGTTCTTTCCCCCCACATAATTCCAAGCCTTGACTTATTTGATTAATTGGATCTTAACTCAGTTCACTGCGCAACTGTCTAAAACCTCCCAGCAATCACCAGCTACTAAAGCAGCCACTCTCAGGTCCCTGCACTTCAGCCATCCTTCTCAAGTACAATCCCTAGATCATCCTCCTTCCTCCAATTCCTGCGCTTCTTAGGGAGTCTGTCAACTTGCAGGATCATAGGATCTAGAATTGGAAGAGTCCTGGGCACTCATCTAGTTCAGGCCCCTATGTGGCAGATAAGGAAACTGAGGCCCAGAGAGGTGTGTTGACTTTCCCTAGGTGGCCCAAATGGCTAAAAGAATAGTCTGATAGAAAGCCAGGTGCTCTAACTCAAAATCCAGTATTGTCCCCACCCTACTCTTCCCTTCTGTCTGCCCCTACCCCACCCCCCAACCCCCACTCCTGTGATTCTCTATTGCCCTGACTTCCAGACTCTCTCACCATGTCTTCTAAGTCCAGCAGATCCTGCTCACTCTGGAGGAGCCCCAGGAGAGCCTGAAGAAGAAAGTGCTGCAACTTTGTGTCCAGCATGGTCAGTGGCCGTTGTTCATTCTCCACCTCAGCCTGCAGTTTCTCAAAGCCTAAGACTGTGTTGACTATCATTATTCTGTAGGAATCTAGAAAAAACAAGACAGCTAAGTTTGGAATCACACCCCAACTCTCAGACCTTTCATCTCTGTTTCCTGGCTGGGATGCCTTAGGTTCAGCAGGCTGCTGGAGGGGGTCCCTGCTTTATACCCTCTTCAACCTAGTTGGGTGTCCACATTCTCTGCTCTTAAGAATTTTACCCAGGTTATGGGGACCCAGGGAGGGGTCTGGGACCTTATTCTATCACCATAAAGAAGAGTAGCTAGCTACATGCCCTATTCCCAAACTCAGTCACAGGTGGTTTGAGTGGTGTTGTTCCTTCCTATAGAAAAAGAGGCATGGCTGAAGAGTCACCCAGCACTCTCCAAAGAAAGGACATTTTGTTTAGCATAGTTATCAACTATTTGTATACAGGCATCAATGATTTCTTTGATACTTCAGTAAATCTGTAGCCACATTTCACTGATTTTTTTGTTTTTGTTTTTGTTTTTTAGGCAATTGGGGGTTAGTGACTTGCCCAGGGTTACACAGCTAGTAAATGTCAAGTGTTTGGTCTGAAGCCAGATTTGAACTAAGGTCCTCCAGACTTCAGGGCTGGTGCTCTATCCACCTAGCTGCCTCCATTTCACTGATTATTCATAATAATAACTGGCATTTATATAGCACTTTGCAAGTGCTTAACAAATATCTCCTTTGATCCTTACCACAACCCTGGGAGGCAGGTACTATTATCATCTCTATTTAATTTTTATTTTTTAAAGTAATATATTATTTTTCCAATAAATGTAAAGACAATATTTGCCATTCATTTTTAAAATAAAATTATGAGCTCCAAATTTTCTCCCTCCCTTCCTCTCCCCCCTCTCTAAGACAGTAAGCAAATTTGATATATGTTATATATGTATGATATAGGTTATATATATATCATGTAAAATACATTTCCATATTAGTCATATTGTGAAAGAAGAAACAGAACAAAAGGAAAAACCACAAAGAAAAAGTTTGATAGTGAGAATAGTATGCTTCGATCTGCATTCAGACTCCATCAGTTCTTTTTCTGGAGGTAGATAGCATTTTCCATTAAGGGTCTTTTGGAATTGTCTTAGATCATTGCACAAAATGGCATAATTTCTTAAAAAATTTATGGGGGCAGCTAGGTGGCACAGTGGATAGAGCAATGGACCTGAAGTCAGGAGGACCTGAGTTCAAATCTACCTCAGACACATAACATTTACTAGCTGTGTGACCCTGGGCAAGTCACTTAACCCCAATTGCGAAAAAAAAAATCGTAAGAACACTCTACATACATAATAGGGGCATCTTGCCGAAGATATGAGAAGGAACTATTTCTGCAAATGGTATTCTAGAACTATTCACATATTAACAGTCAACTAATTAATTGAAATTTGTAGAGATTATGAGAATCCCACCTTGCTTATTATATATTGCCTAAAAAAAAAAGCACTTGGTTCAGTTGAACAAAATCCATCTTTAAAGGATCTCTTTTTTAACAACATTTCTTCCATGCATATATAAAAATTGTATGGGGCAGATAGGTGGCGCAGTGGATAGAGCTCTGGCCTTGGAGTCAGGAGGACCTGAGTTCAAAACTGGCCTCAGACACATAATGCTTCCTAGCTGTGTGACTCTGGGCAAGTCACTTAGCCCTAACTGACTCACTAAAAAAAAAATAAATAAAGTGAGGCATATAGAGAGAGATATCTCTATTTTATAGATGGAGTAACTGAGGCAGGATGCAGTTAAGTGACCTTTCCAGGTTCACACAGCTAGTAAGTGCCTTAGACCAGAATGAATTTAGGTCAGCTGACTTTAGGTCTATCCCCTGTGCCATCTACTGGCCTGATGTGAATATTTATGCCAATGGGGAATCTGACAACTGACTTACACTTACTTACTCCATGCAACTGTCATCCCTATCCTCCCAAACATCCTCCACAGATCCACCCTTAGTAGGGTGCAGTCCCCCAGCTGCCCATCTGTGGTCACACTCAGCACACAACAGATCCTGGACCTTATCCAATCCTACATTGCCTGGATGAAGTCTTTTAGAAAACTTACACACAACTCTTACCTGAGGGGACCTCCTGTTTAAAATCTCGCCACAAATGATCCCTTGACCCAAGACATGAATGACTTAATAAATAGTCTTGAGGTGGAAGGTGCAGTTTATTAAATAATGATATATCTAATGGGAAAGAAGAGAGTCTTTGTAAAGAGCTAGTCTACCTTTTTCTGAATTCTACCCCTCTCTGGGTCAAACAAAACAAGGTTAATCCCTCTTGCTTATAACAGACCTAAAATACTTGAAGACTGCTCTCACATCTTCTCTCCTCTAGGCTAACCATCTCTACTTCCCTGGCAGGGTCTACAGCCCCTCCATCTGCTCACCCTCCTCCTCTGGATGTATTCCCTCTTTGGCTGAGGTGTGAGGTGTTATGGAAGTCTGGGGACGCTGACCTTCTCTCCATGATCTCTAATCTTCCCTCTCAGAGAGCTAAGCAGAGCAGTAGATAGAGCCCCAGGCCAGCAGTCAGCAATCCTGAGTTCAAATATAGTCTCTGATATCTACTAGCTGCATGACCCTGGGCAAGTCACCTAATCTCTGTTTGCCTCAGCTTCCTCATGTCAAATGGGGATAATCATAGCCCCTCCCTCCCAGGCTTGTTGTAAGGTTCAAATGAGATAATAATTTCAGAGCACTTTGTCAGCACAGTGTCTAGCACATAGTAAACACCATAGAATGTTAGCTGCCATCATACAGAGCCTTCCATAGCACTTTCAGGCCAGTCTTCTTGAGTGCAAACCCTGCCCTGTGCCCCAGGCATGAGGGTCTCATGCAGCTACAAATAAGAAGGGCAGTCATGTGCCCAGGCATAGAGGTGCTGCCCAGCCCAGTCTCGTGCAGACTCTACCCATTTCAGGCCCTTTGAACTCTCAACTCTTGGATCATTGACACCTGAACACAGGAAGATTCACTCCCTGGAACCTGGGGAAGCCCCTTGGGCAATCTGGGTTTGTGCCTTGCCTCTACACTCAGAGGAAGAGAAGGGAAGGAACAGGTGTTCATAAAGCATTTACTATGTGCTGGATACTATACTAAGTATTTTACGAATGTTATCTCATTTGACATGTAGGACGTGTAGGGTGACAGATCCTGGGGCCCTACTGAGACAAGTTCCCTTGCAACCTGAGGCTGGTTTCCCTGCCAGGGTCACCCCCAGCCTTTGGGTGCTCTGCCTCCACCCCTTACATAAGCACAGTCCCTAGGAAGGGGCCCAGACCCACCTCATTGGTGCTGCTGTGATAGAACCGTAAGCAGTGTGGCCTTGGTGCTGTCATTCCCTCCTGGACCCTCCCTGTCCTGTGGACCCTGGCCTGCCCATGCATCCTGCCTCTGAATAGTTCAGGCTGCTTTTATCTCTGTGTTTAAATTGGGAGAGGCAGAAGAGGTGGGAACATAGGGGGAAAAAGTCACAAACCTGATGTGAAGCGCATTGTAGATTTTATATCTGAAAAGAGAAAATATCTGTTTCAGTTTTCAGAGGCCATCCATCCCCAGGATACATTAGGAATCAAGCACAGAACAACACTGCCCAGTTCAAATCAAAGAATCAAATCCACCTTGCACATTTCCCTGACTCAGTTTGTCTTCCCATCCCTATGGTTCTTACCATCCAGTCTGACAGGTGATTGGTTGGGTCAGTGCTAGACCTAACAATAACGGCTGACTTCTAGCTAGCGAGGGCTTAAAGTTTGCAAAGCACTTCTCATAGATTATCTCACTTGATCCTCAAAGGGGCCCTAAGATGTCTGGGCTACAGGTGCCATGATCCCCATTTTACAGATAAGAAGACTGGGTCCCTCAGCAATGTGGCCACAACACACAGCTGGTGTGTATACAGGAGGTGGGATTTGAACCAAGGTCTCTGCTGACCTTGAGACAAGAGTGGAGCTTCTTCATCTGTAAAAGGAGGTTGCTAATTCCTGCCTGTCTCACCCCTTAAGAGCCCATAGGATTCATTATGAGATTTTCCATTAGACAAATACAAAGTAATATGAAATGTGTAAGTTATGGTTGACATCTTGTTTAGACAGAAGGAGGAAAGGTACCAGAGAACAACCTGACAAACAGGTAGGCCTCAATATTCCTCTAAGGCCTTCATCTTTCTATCACCATCAGGGTGGGCAGAGTGAATGGAATGCTGGACAAGGAGACAGGGAGCCCACCTATGACGCAGAGTCATTAACAACACCTGGACTCCCTATCACACAGGGTAGTTGGGAGGGTCCAATTAGGTAATGTACACACAGTATTTTGTGAACCTTAAAGTAACTTCTCTGTGTGTACAACTTTTTGTTGAGTCATATTTTCAGTTGTGTCTGGACTCTTTGTGACCCCATTAGGGGTTTTCTTTATTTTTTAATTTTTTTTATGTTTTTTTGGTCAGGCAATTGGGTTAAGTGACTTGCCCAGAGTCACACAGCTAGGAAGTGTATTAGGGGTTTTTTTGATGGAGACACTGAAGTGGGTTGCCATTTCCTTCTCCTGCTCATTTTACAGATGAGGAAACTGAGGCAAACAGGGTTGAGTGACTTGCCCAGGGTCATACAGCTAGGAAGTGTCTAAGGCTGAATTTGAACTCTGGTCTTCCTGCCTCTGAACCCAACCCTTTATCTACTGTACCACCTAGCAGCCTGTATACATATGTGTACATATATATGTGTATATACATGTATATACACACATACATATAAACACATGTACACACATATAGAGGGTATCTCAAAAGCTATTAAAACTTTAAATTGCACTAAGAGTTTTCAGGGCAGTTTTCTTAACCTTGTTTGACTCAGTTTCCTCTTCTGTAAAAATGAACTGGAAAGGGAATGACAAACCACTCTAGTATTTTTGCTGAGAAAACTCCAAACGGGGTCATTAAGAGTTGGACATGAATGAAATGAATGAACAACACAAAGGTCTTTGGGACACCCTGTGTATATTTTAGTTCCCGAGATTTCATTGGTATTGACAATAGCCAATGAAGAAATTCCCTCTACCAGAGATTTGCTTGGTGCACCTTGAAATTAAGTGTTTTGTACAGGGTCCCACGACCAGTACATGTCTCAGGCTATTCAAGAATGCAGTTCTTCCAGATTTGGAGGCAGGCTCTCTAGCCATTCCATTTCCTTCCAAGTTCTTATCATTTCTTAAGTTCTATCTCCTCTATGCTACATAGAGGGAAAGAATACTTAGCTCTCTCTGGGGCTCACCTAAGCGGAACCTTCAGCTGAATCAAAAACCAGAGAGGGCAGTTTCTCAATTCTAGGGAACTAACAGTGTCCTTGAGGAGCTACGTGGACAGTGGTCCCCTGGATGGGCTGTCAAGGGCTCACTGGGCTCAGGGGCTAGAAAGACAACCAACCTTGTCACTCACCTTTAGGTGGGAAGGTTTTCTGGTTCTTGTCTGGAAGTAGAAGAACATCTAGATAAAGAAGAAAATGGTTACAAATGATAAAATTCAATGCAGTTGCAGCTATGGGGGAAAAGGGACAGGGTTCCGTTGTTGGAGAGGCTATAAATCAGTGTAGCCTTTTTAGAAAGCCATCTCGCTCTATTCCATAAAACCAATCGTACCCTTTGACTTAGGGATTTCACTGCCAGGATCATTAGTGTTGGAAGAGAAATTGAGAGATCCACGAGTTCAACACCCTCATTTTGCCAATAAGGAAACTGAGGCTGAGGACTTGATTTTAAAGTTGATATTGCCTTAGTGCTTTAAGGACCCATGATTTCATTGCGGTGGGCACTTCCTCCACAATCATGGACCATAACCTATGTGGCCAAATTGCTGGTGATGAGAAGCCTCCCAATTTAATCAGACTGGTTCTGAAGTGATGGACATACTTGGGGCCCATACTCAAAACTTTTTGAGGTCAGAATGATCTGTCAGGACCTTCACTGAGAACCCAGGGCTGCCACAACGCAGTCATGACACATCAGAGGAAGACTTAAATGGAGGAAGGTTGTAATTCAAATGGGAAAGAAAAGGCCATTCTGTACAAAATGGAGCTGCTTAATAAAAAAAAATGAAAACGACATATATGTCCAACAACTGAATTAAAGAAAAATGTCACACTTCAAAGTGATTTCAGAGGGAATCTAGTCCAAATTGTGCCTAAGCAGGAATCTATGGTCTCCTTGACCAGTGGTCATTGAGCCTTTGCTTGAATACTTTGAGTTTTGGGGAGCTCCCCACTTCATGAGTCAATGCAAGAGAAATATGAAGATTTCTCTTCCGTTATAAGATAATTATTATCTATTCCTAATTTCTAGCCATTGTCTCAAGGGAGATTGTGACATGATGGAATAGATTGGGGCATGTCAAAGTCATGGAATGTTTTTGGGCAATTAAAAATATCAAATATGAAGAATATAAACAAATATAGAAAGAAGGAAGGAAGCAAAGGAGTGGGGAGAGAATAAACATTCATTAGGCTCCTACAATGTTGCCGGCACTGTGCTAAGCATTTTACAAATATTATCTCCTTTAATCCTCACAATAACCCTGTGAAATAGATGCTATTATTCCCATTTTAGTATTGAGGAAACTGAAGTAGACAGAAGCTAAGTGACCTCCTAAAGGTCATTTGTAAGTGGTTACTTATAAGGTCACAAATTGTGTCTGAGGCCAAATTTAAACTCTAAGTGATGCAGAGCAAAATAATAAACAGAAAATTTGAGAGTTGCAAGGGATCTCAATGAGTATCTGACCTAACCCACACCTGCAAGTGTTAGAACACAGTTAATACATTAGAATACTCTGTTAATCATTTCCCATTTATCTTTTATATAATTTGTTTTGTATATATCTATTTGCATGTTTTTCCCCCATTACAGTGTAAGCTACTTGAGGGCAGGAACTATATTTTGCCTGTTTTTTCTATCCTCAGCACTTAGCACAATACCTGCCACATAGTAGGTGCTTCATAAATGTCTACTGATTGACTAAATATGAGTCTATGAAAACTGACATCATCAAAAGCTTATGAGTATAAGAACAGGTAAGAGACTGGGGGGGGAGTGGCTGCAGGAAATAAATTACTGTGAAGTTTTTGTACATGTTTCTACCTTTTATAAAAATGTAAATAATTTGGATTTCACAGTTTTATTTAGCATTTTCTTCCTCACATGTTGTGTCCTGAAATTATCCTCAGGGATGCCTCATTGAGAAATGGGAGATCTTGAAGTGATGCCAGTAGAATAGAGATTTTGTCATACTGGTTGGCCTGTTGATTGACTGATCAATAAACATTTATCAAGGACCAACTATGTACCAGACCCTGTGTTAAGGGCCGGGGTAAGCTAGAAAGCCTTTGAGCAGAGTCCTAGGTCTGTTGTCTAAAGGCCAGCTTAGCTCAGTGTAGAGAGACTCACTCCCTGGCTGGCCACAGGGGGGATGAATTCTGGTCAGGACAAGTCTTGGAGACCATGTGCTAAGATGCTGTGACCTGCATGTTTGGAAGGAACAACCAAATCAATGAGATGGGAGACCTTTGATCTACAAGTATTGTAGTTGGTATGAAGTTTATGGTAATCCAGAAAAAGAAGGATGACTGGAAGGGGAAGAAGGAAAAGGAAAAAGAATAGCTATTCTCTGGTGCCCCTAAAGCCTCTCCTGCCCCCTCACCTGGGTAGTTGGAAAACTCAGTGAGGAGAAGACTAGCCTCCTTTTCCCAGCCCTCTACCTGAGCCTAGAAGTGAGCCCTCAAACCTAAGATTATATGTGTGGGATAGAGAGGGACAGGGTGGTCTCTTTAGATGTCATCTACCTAACCATCTGGGCAGCTGAGTTCCCTAAACACCAGGACATATACTATGGTAACGCCCCCTCCCATTCTCCACCTCCCTCAACCCTTGGTAGGAGAAGGGTGGTTTATGGCAAATTTTCCTCCACCTTTCCATCCTCCCCACCCTGGTTCTTCTGATCCAACTTACTCCACTGATCCTGGATAATCAACTTGGCAACTTGGAAAGCAAGTATACTGCCCTCAGGGACAGTCACTGTCTTCATTGTGTTCAAGCTCCCTTGACCCTCACCCTGGGGAGAAAAGGAAAGAGGGCAGGCGTCACAGATCTAGAAGTGGAAGAGTCCTCAGAGCTCAGCTCATCCAACTCTCTCATTCTCAGGAAATCCCATCTCAGATGAAGGGACTTGCCCAAGGTCATACTGTTGGAATCTAGACTCATGTCCTATGACTCCAAATCCAGTGCTCAGACATGGCTAGGTTTACAGCAGGGATCTGAAGATTAGGGGGTGGAGGAGAGGGAGGAGCAGAAGTCAGGATGGAGGCTGGGTAGGAGTCAGCCCCCAGTTCTCTGTGTTGGGGAGAGAGGGAATGAGAAGAAATAGTAGGCAGGGACAGAGGCTTTGAGCTACAATCTGGGTAGGGCCTTGTCAGATGCAGCTGTGACTGAGGACAACAATCCTCTCTCAGTTATTTGCAGGTGTCCCCTAAGCCATTTCTCCACAGCTTTTCAACCCCAGGCTGGCTCCCTCTAGTGTGTGTGTGTGTGTGTGTGTGTGTATGCTTCCTCATCAGACAGTCCTAGGAAGTCTCATCACATTTAAAGGAGCTGCCTGGAGTCACAAGGAAGGGAATGAAACAGCTTCCTGACTTGCCCTACTGCATTCCTAACCCCAACTGAAGTTCTCTTGGATTATCTGCTATTTGATGAATATCCACACCCCTGAGAATGAGTAAGCACCAATTACACACAGTAGGACTTGCTATTTTTAATGGATATGCTCCAAACAGGAAGCAGGAAAGGGACATGGACTTGGAGTCTTCAGGTCCATTCCAGGTCTCCAGCTGCCTGCTGGGAGTCTCTGGGGATATGGGGCTAAGCCTAGAAGGTTACTGGATGCTGGAGTACTCAGACCTTCCTCCCTCCCTGTGCCCATCTCTCCAAAGTATGTTCTAACCTGGACACACGAGGCCCCAGGAATGGTGATCTTCCCAAAGCCTTCTTTCTTTCTGGACCTCTTCAGAATGGCCTCTTTCTGGGTCTTCACGGCTTCTGTCACAACATACAAGTTCTCTCCACGTTTTCGAAGCTCCTGGAAGATGGAGGGCTCTGGGGTTTTCAGTTTCCTGTAGGAGAGGAGGAGGGAAGGCAGCAGGTGAGGCATTTGGGATTCCCTCTCCCATCCCTCTCCGTTATGACCTTGCTCAAGGTCATCTCCAGGTAGAGCATGTTTGGGTTTCACCATGCCAGTGCCTTGGGGGTAATATGGTGTGAAGTGGTGGTAAGGACTCAAAGGATAGTTTGTGCACATGTTTGAAAGGCCTAAAGACTGGAGCCAAAAGGACTCCTGTCTCCTATGAAGGCAAACATATTTTAGGAGGGATATCATTAAGGCAGAGCTATCCAAAGAAGGGCTACCAAGATGACGGTGAGTTTAAAAAAAACACAACTAAGTGGCATAGAAACAGCTGAAGGAACTGGAGTTGTTTAGCCTGGAGAAGAGAGAGTTTATAGGTGACATGATCATCCCTATCTTAAAATATATGAAAGATTGTCCTGGGGCAGAAGGAACAAACTTGTTGCCTTCTAGCCCCAGAGGGAAGAAATAGGACCAGTTTAAGAAGTCCCCAGGGAATGTATTTCAGCTCAGAGTAAAGAAGAACTTCCTAAGAAATAGAGCCACTCAACAAAGGAATGGGTTGCCTGGTGAAGTAGCTGGTTCCCTCTTGCTGGAGGCCTTTATGCACAGGCTGGGGATGCTACAAAGAGGACTCCTAACTCAGGCAGAGCACCTGACTAGATCCCCCTCTGAGATCCCACACCCTCCACTAGGATGGCTCTAACCTGTGTCAGGTATTACCTCCCACTGTTCCCTTTTGGGTCCTCTATATCAGAACTAACTCCACCCCCATGTCTCTCTGCACCCTCTCCTGCCTCCTGCCTTTGCTCCTGCTGCCCCAGGGCCTTGGGATACCTTCCGTCGCCACCCCCATCTGCATCTGTGAAGTCTCTGCTCTCCTTCTCAGGATGAAGCCTTCCCTGTCTCAGCAGAATATGATGTTTCCCTCCTCAAATTCCTCATAACACTTTATCAGAGAATCATAGATTTACAACTGGAAAGGACCTTAGAGGTCCACTACCTCACCCTCCTCATTTTACAGATGAGGAAACTGAGGACAGGAAATGTTAAGGGACTCATCCAACCTCATACAGGTAACGAGCAATAGAGACAGGATTGGAACTCAGGTGCTCTGATTTCAGAGCCAGTGCCTTTGCTACATGCACCTGAAGAAGAATAAGAGGTACAGTGGGATAGGTGCAAGTGAGAAAAGGGACTCAGAGAAGGTTTTTGAAAAAAAAAAGATTTTTCATCGATATCTTTTGCTCTTACATCACCTAGATTTCCTCCCTGTGTCCTTCCTCCTCCTCCTTCCAGAAAATCATCCTTTATAACAAAAAAATCTTTAAAAAGATGAAGAAAAGAAAAAAAAAGTTCAGGAGAACACTGTATAGAGTAACAGCATCTTTGTGCTAAGTCTATCACCACAGAAAGAAATGACGAAGTCTGAATGCAGATTGAGGTATCCCATTTTCACTTTTTTGGTGGCTTGTTCCTTTGGGTCTATTTCTTTTTTGGCATGACTAATATGGAAATACTCTACATGATTACATTTAGATAACCTATATCAACTTGCTTACGCTTTTAGGGAGTGGGGGAAAATTTAGGACTTAAATTTTTTAAAAAAATGAATGTGAAAAATTGCCTTTACATGTAATTGTAAAAAATAAAATACTATTAAAAAGGAAATATGGAATTCTTTCCTAGATAATTTTTGTTTTGGGGGTTATGAAAGACTGAGTTAATGAGTTCAATTATTCCTGATTCTTCCTTGTTTTGTCTGTTCCATTGCTCTACTTTTTTTTCTAAACAATATCAAATGAGTTTTTTGATTACTGCTTTGTAATATAGTTGAGGTCTGGAAGTGCTATTCTTCCGTAGATTCTGCCTTTCAAAAATTATTTCCTTTTATATTCTATATCTTCTGTTGTTCCAAATGAATTTTATTATGCTTTTATCTAGCTCTATACAAAATCCCTTTGGTAATTTAGATGATGTAGCATTGAATCTATAAATTAACTTTGGTCGTATTGTCATTTTTATTACATTGGCATGGCCCAGTTATGAACATTGACTAGTCTTCCAGTTATTTGAGTTTTTTTTTAGGGATCATTTTGTAATTTAATCTATACAAGTATCAAGTACTTTGGCTCAGAGAAAATCTGAGGAGAGACCACTTTCACCTGCATTGATGGTTCAGGAAAGGTGTCATAGAGGAGAAAGGAGATTCAAAAGCAAGAGATTAAAAACAAAGGAGTGAAGCCAGCTTTGAGGTCATTGACTAGTGTGGTACCTAGTCTCAAAGGAAGAAGGGAAGCCAGTGTTCCTGCTTTAAGAAACAAAGAAGCAAAGACTCTGGAAGTGAGAAGATTGAAGATGGATACCCTTAAGATAAAGAAGGTGGCTGGCTATTTTCTTCTACGTAGGACAGAGGTATGTTCTACTTAACATGTGTGGAGTACTGGGAATGGAGTTACCTATACGGGCCGCACGCTGGCCTTCTGCCAGTCGTGCGCCAGTACCTACTTCCCTTAAAAGAAGTACACCACCAGAGTCTTACCCACGCCTGGGTCCTCGGTCCTCAGCCGGATCACCACACAGAGACGAGCCATCAGGAGGCACCAACACCAGAGCTTTATTCAGAGGCCAACACAGCAAACCATCATAGCAAGCCCAAGCAGCAAGGCCAGAGCAACAGGCAGGAGCCAGGGGAGAGCGCACGTGTGTGTTCTGACCACGCTTGTTCCTAAGTACCTACTTAGCCCCTCCTCCCCAGCCCGCTACTAGCCAATGATTGTAGGGTCAGATACCGGAAGGGGCTGTCTGAGTTTAGCACACCAAGGAGGAGGGAGTGATGTAGGAGGCTAGGATTGGATACAGGAAGGAGGCATCTGGGATTGACGCATAGACAAGAGTACGTGACCTAGGAAGTCAGACTCAGGAGGGGACTGGGTCAGTGCTGCACAAGGTCAGGAAGGTCACAAGAGGCATCTGGGGATGACGTTGCATATAGGGAGGGGACTAAGCAGAGGGAGCTCAGTCCTCTGCCATCCCACTCCCACGTGGCACCGCCCCTTGCCTCAGGAGCTCAGGCTCGGCTACTTCCTAGCACCCAGCTTATCTCATAGCACTGCCCAATTGCCTCATGGCTTCTCCGTATCCAGCCCATCCCAGTACACACGACTCTGTCTACCACAGTCCCTGCCTCGACTTCCAAAATACCCAGATCTTACCTTACCCATGCCACAGCACCCAACTGGCAGCTGCCAACATCAGACAGTCCCTCACAGTTACCTACCGTGGCCAGTTCCAAAACATCATAGAAAAACTAAGCACAATCATCAGAACTGATCAGAACCCTCAGTCCATGCTTTTGATCTACGTGGGGAATGAATGATACCGCCATTTTTCTCTCGGAGTGATTATATCAAGTATGACTCCAGGGCTCTAGGTAAATGAGGCAGGGACCCAGGTGGTGTTTTTGTTCCTCTTTCTAGTTGGCACAAGTTTCTTCAGGAACATGTGCATCCTGGACATGAACACTGGGTTATTCAACTGGGGCCAAGTGTCAGCTCACAGCTGGGTGCCAGAGCAAGCATTTAATCAGTACTTACTATGTGCCAGGTATCATGCTAAACACTGGGGATACAGATACAAGCAAAATCAAAGAGCCCTGCTCTCAAGGAATTTACATTCTAATGGAGGAAGACAACAGTCAAAACAGAGTTGAAAAGGACCCAGGGAGGACCCATGTGGGGGCATGGTGTTGAAGTCTGGGGACTGCTTAGAAGGTAGCTCTTTAGACATGTGAGGGGACAGTGACACTGGCCATAGACAGTTCAAAGGTTCCTAGTCTTCAGGAATATTGTCAGTTCTAATTATTGTTGCCCCTGTGACAACCCCAACTTGTTGGTGCTACAGGTTCCATAGGGGGAGGAAACTCATCTCATTGAAATTCCAGGATAGCACAGGCTCTGAACACAGAGTAAATGCTTAATACATGTTTGCAGAATTTAGTTGGTCTGAGATAACACCTGACTCTGTACTCCATATTTATTTCTGTGATTCCCTTTGGGTTAGATGACTTGTAATCCCATTCCTCTGACATTGGACTTCTTAGGGCTCAGTCAGAATTCTTCCTGTTTGGGTTGCTTTTTCCTGTCTTCTGCTGGTTCTGGGCATTCCAGAATTTACCCACTCAATGGTCCTGAATGCCCCCACCAGAGGAGGTTTCAGACTCCTTGACAAAGATGAAAGGGTCCTGAGTCAGGATATCATCATATGATAAAGAAGGGAAGAATATCTTCCAATTCCAAACTATCTACAGTAGTATGGAAAAAATGCTCCAAATGAGAAATAACAAGAGAAATATAAATTAAAGTAATTCTGAGGTCCCACTTCATACCCATCAGATTAGCAAATTTGACAAAAGGGGGAAAAGGACAAATATTGGAGGGACTGCAGGACAATAGGCACATTAATGCCCAGCTGAAGAAGCTGTCAGTTGGTATGGCCCTTCTGAAAAGCCCTTTGCAACTGTGCCCCCAAATCATTAATCTATGTATAGTCTTTGACCCAGCATCAACACTTCTTGGTCTATAATGCCCCAAAGATACATATATATATATATATTTTGGCGAGATGATGGGGTTAAGTGACTTGCCCAGGTTCACCTAGCTACTGAATATCATGTGTCTGAGGCCTGATTTGAACTCAGGTCCTCCTGACTCCAGGGCCAGTACTTTATCTACTGCAGCATCTAGTTGCCCCCCTCAAAGACATTTTAAAAAGATGAAAATAGCCTATTTAGACAAAATCATTTAGAGAAGCTCTTTTATTATAGAGGCAAAGAATAAATTCTAAGGGGAAGGGAGTGCCCATCACTTAAGAAATGACTGAAGAAATGATGGCATATGAATGTAATGGAACACTATTGTGCCCTAAGAAATGATGAAAGGGACAGTTGTAATGAAAGCTGGGAAGACTTGTATGAACTATTACTGAGCA